AAGCGCACTGTCCGCCGCGGTAGGGATTCTCCCACGCTGCGTTTCCGGTCCGTCACGATCAAAGGAAGCGCGCCGTGGTTTCCGGTCGATCGTGATGCCCCGTGACGTGATTCGTGACGCCCCGTGACAATCCGTGGGAGATCTTGGGAAGCCCACCGGAGGCTGCGAGATGTTCGGCCTCTTAAGGCTGAAACAGACTCTTTCCGCGTTCAGGAAATCGCATGCGAGAGCCTATTCAAATACATTATATTTCTTCCCGCTTCAATCGCATCCGGGAGGTGCGTGCGATTGATGCGAGCGTGCTTCCATGTATTTGAATAGGCTCTCGCATCCGATTTCCTGACTGCGGAAAGAGTCTGTTTCAGGCATTAGATGGCGCGGTGAATTTTGGTTCGTCTGTGGGCTGCCAATGGAGCAGAAACGTTGAAATCCAAGCTCTCTCAGAGGCTTGTGGCATTCGGAAATTTGCTTTGTCCTGATGCCCGAATGCCATTCCGATTAAATATATTTTATTGATTATTTGCTGTGTGGGAAAATAGAAGTAACTGTATAACTGTTCAGCCCTTTAATTTCACAGCACACCATTGCAACGATATCAGGGAAAATCACCCTGCATCACTGTCTTATTGATCAAGGCATCGCCTTTTGCTCGGGATCTATTGCCCGCAACTTGAAAGTATGGCCGACCATACCTCCTCACCTAGTGGATGGTTTACGTCAATGCTGCATTTAATTCTTTAACACAATTAAGCTGAATGAGTCTACCTCATTGACTCACCATTTTAGTTCTCGGCTGTAGATGTGATACACCTGGTAAAAGGTGACGAGATAAGCCCATAGAAACAGCACCAAAGCATTGGGAGATGTCTTGTGAATGCTACTCGACTCCAGAGTCGACTCCATATTACTGCGAAGTGTGAGACATGTTCCCAACCGGATGTCTCACGCTGTTCCAAACGGCTAGAGAGAACGACAAGGCCATTTGTCTTGCCTTCGAACCTCGAACCTCAGTAAAGAGCTTATAAAGACTGAGCATTATCAGACAACGGTCACGCGACTGAAGCTTCTCAACGCAATGCATGGCCCGATGCTGTCTTGCATCGACGAAAAGTTGCTAAGTTGCGCAGTGGAGGGAAAGCGATAAGCCCTCATCGTTTTCGAACTTGTGCAGGTATTTGGGGCATTGCGGTCTCATTCAGTCGGATAATCCCCCAGAAAACAGCTTGTGGATAATAAGATAACAGCGGTACTACCACTCATGATCTGAGGTGTTGCATACGTGCATGCATGCATGTCACACATGGCACACCGCACAGTCACGTATATTTTTTAAACAAAGGAATGCCAGATTATGACTCAATCGTAATGAATGAAAATGAACATGAATAGGCAGATCGGGCGTTTCTCTGGCTTAAGTCTTACTTTACCGATAGGGAGCAGAGAGTGGTTGTCAATGGGAAATGTTCAACGTGGATGTCGATGCCGTCGGGAACCCCGGAAGGAAGCCTCCTTTCGCCGCTGTTATTGTCATGTTACATCAATGATTTGCCGAATTCTGTCAACACAAATTGCCTCATGTTCGCCGATGATGTAAAACTTTATCACAGGGTTACGTCTCATACCGACTGTGAATTCTTGCAGAGGCAGTTAGATGAGCTATGTTACTGGTCACGGAAGTGGGGCCTAACACTGAATCCTGCTAAATGTAAGATCCTGACTCTTTCTCTGCGACGTCACCCAGTAACATTTGCATATACCATAGGAGGCGCAGCACTTGAAAGAGTCAGTGAAATGCGCGATTTGGGTGTTATCTTGGATGAAAAACTGACGTTTGGCAGCGAGATCGATCGTGTTGTTCGCCAAGCTAATAGAGCATTAGGGCTCCTAATCAGGTCCTTCCAAACAGGAAAGCATGGCAGATCGCTGTATCGTTGTGATTACAGAGCTATCATCCGCACGTACATTGCAGTGTATTGTGCCAATGTAAGGCCTATCTTGGAATACGGCAGCGTTATCTGGGGAGGAGCTGCGGCCACCCATCTAAATCGCCTCGAACGTGTACAGACGAAATTTCTTATTTGGCTTTGTGGTCGATGTCGTATTGCCGATGCGGAACTTAACTCTGCTAACCTTTCGAAGCATTTTCATCTGATGTCTCTGGCTGCACGGCGGCAGCAGCACGACCTGATGTTTATCCGGAATATTCACAGACAGGACATCGATTCGGCTTACCTGCTAAACAGCATGCCTCTATGTATACCACCTCGCTCATTGCGCCAGCGCAACCTGTTCCATGTACCGTACGCGCGGGTGACCACTGTTAAGCAGGGACTATTTTGTCGCATTCCGCGAACGTGCAACACATTTCTTAACGAGCAGCGTGAGGCAGACGTTTGGCACCTGAGCGCCCTGCAGTGGAAGAAACTGGTCGTGGCATATTGTCGAATGCATTGCTGATCCATTTTAGTGTATGTATCTTATTATGTGTATTTTTAACCCATTTTAACTTGTTGTCTGAAATGTGTACTTCACTCGTCAATGGGCCCACCATATCCCGTGAGTGTTTATGTAATAAACTAGACTAAACTAAACTAGGCAGAGTAGTTCGAAAAAATGTCCGCCAGGCAGCATTGGGTGCCGCAGCTATAGTTTTAATAAGGAACAACTATGAACGATAGGTGCTACATCTTACGTAGTCAAGCTCCAAGCGAGATCATATGCGTACGCTGTCCTGCTTCGGACACTCGCCGCTATCCTTATGGATAAAGGCGTGACTGATCTTTTCGCTCTGACGCTATCGTCCACATGGTTTTTCCATTTGGAACTGTCCACAAGGATTGTCCATCGATCTCTGTAAGGCCATGAACACCCCTCTCTCAGGATATTCCTCCTCACTCTCTCCCTCCCTCTTCCTCTCTCAGAACTCTAGTCACATCCGTCCCATGACGAGTGCGACCAAAGCGACGCAGAGGTGGCAGCCGCGGCGCGGAGACGACAGAAGTGCCGCGTCTCATATCTGGAGACTTACCTTGCCCTTGACATGGTTCGCGGCGTCGTGCGGCTCATGACTCTGTAACGTGTGATATGAAGCAGGCGTCGGTACGCTTGGCTTTGGAACAGGATGTGTAAAAAGTGAGACGGTTTTGATGTTAACATCTTGATATAAATGAATTGAGTGCATGTTAGGTAAACGCAGCTCATCGAAATATTCACCTTTTGCATTTCTACAAATATATGAACGAACGTATTTTTCAATCTTGTCATTGCAGGTGGAAATTAAGTGAAAAACTACGCATAAGTTACCCTCAAAATTTATACATGGCATGATCATATTAGCCCTCGCCCGCACATGCCATTTTCCCATCCTAGAACGCACATGGGGGGGGGGGGGGTGGTTGCCACCCCCCCGCGCCATTTCGTTCCTGTTGGAGATAGAGCTTAGCAGTAAAGACCAAAAAGATTCTTTGGGAAGAGACAAATCCAATGATACCCAGTTTTACCTTCTCAGGTCAGTCATTGACCTTCCAGGTCAGGTCAAACTAAAAAATGTTGCTGTTTTGGGTCACCGTTGGATATCAAGTGCGCTGCTTATCAAATACCGATGACGATGCTGTTTTCTGGTGCCAAGCCAGCTAGAACCTCTTTGTCACACCATCCGACCAGAATTTTGCAGCTGAGGTCATTTCAGGTCAAGTTAGGTCAAGGTCAATTATATGTGTTTGTATGTCTGTGTGTGTCTGTGTGTATACTGATGTGTGCACCGATTGTTTTTGGGTCCATATTACATGAAATCATGATCTGAGAAGCTTTTACCAAAAATGCAGTCAAAAAACTTCACAAAAAGTAAATTCAGCTTGCCTAAAACGCAATTATCTTAGATGACCTAGGTTGACCTTGACCCTGACCTTGACCCCTGTACATCGTCGAACAACATGTTCCATGATAGGTGGGAGGTAAGACTGGCAAAAAAGGCCGAAATCAGGGTGTCAAAAGCTCACAAGGCCCATGGCAAACGCAAGATGTTGAGAATTGGCCATTTGGGTCATGACATGACCTGAAAAAACAAGGTCATATCTCCGAAACCAAAAATCACAGAAACTTGAAATTTTCAGTGGACATCAAGAAAGTATAGAGGAGCAGCTATACGAAAAATCAGCCTTCTAGCTGTAAAAATGTTGAGTGCAGAGCAGAAAGACTGCTTGGGGGGGGGGGTGGCAACCACCCCCCCCCATGTGCGGGCGAGGGTTAGAGGTTGAACTTACTATTGACTGATCTTGCACTTACGAACATCTTGATGTGTACAGACATCGAACGCTCTTCGGTGAAGCTTTTTCGCTTTTTTTTTTGTATATTGAGTTTTTATTTTCACGCTTATTGGATGCAATGTAAATTTGTATTCTTATGCATGATAGTTGCGAGTTTCAGGATAGATAGTGAGTTACTTTCTCTCTAGTCTAAGCCATTCGTTAAATATATTGTTCGTGCACTCCCACCCCTCGAGCTCCCGTATTCAACATGATTTACACCTAGCTTAGTGGTATGGGCTTTTCGGCCAGAAAGATATATGTGTTCGTGTCGAACGATATTTTTCTGGGATGGATTAGGGGCATCGTTCGTTTCAGGATGACCGATCTCCTTCCTCCCTTGTGGTTTACACCTCAGGCGTGACGTTCTCAGGTGTTCTACTGGTTCCGGGACTTATATTATTTCTTCTTCATAAATGTCTCACGGGACCACATCTCCGTCACCAAGGAGAGAAAAAGTCACCCATCTCTTACCCATCCTTGAAATGAATCAAATCACGCAGTTTATCATCACCTATTCCAACGACAGAACTACCGCCTGAATTCCAAACCATCGTCATTCACCGTCACCGTCTCATTAATTCAAACCCCGTGTAAAACCCGGCAGTAAAGGTGACGCACTCGCACACTGCGGAAGTTACGCCCGGTTCACACTGTGACCCGAGGCTGTCTCATCCCCGCGCACCTTGTGACGTCATAGGCGGGGATTCCAGCCCCGAGGCGGAGGCCGGCCGGCCGGTGGGCCGGACGGCCGGGCAGACCAGTAGTAGGCTGACCGGCACAGCGGATGCGGTTGGGTGCGGAACTCTGAGGCAGACGAGCTAGTGTGCAGAGGCGGACTGACTAGTGTGGAGGCGGACTCCACTGCGGACTGCACCGCGGAGTGCACTGCGGAGGCGGACGGACGATACCGGTGCAGCGTGCGGCATTTGTGGAATCGTGACTAGTGAGGACGCGCCTACGGATCTGCACGAGGTTGTTATCTGTCCAGGAATCCGTAGAGCGTGGCCAGTTCTGCGCTCAAACGCGCACCCGTCACGTCAGAGAACCACCCCTCCCCCGCTCCCCACCCTCCCCGCCCGATCCGCGATCGGCCAGCCCAGTCAGTCGTGCTCAGAGTCTGGTTTGGTGCGCAGAGACCGAGCCATGCGTCTGGTGACAGTGAGTGTAACGTGCCTTCTGGCGGCGTCACTGGCGGCTGCTGAAGAGCTACCTCCAAACTGGTGGCTAATCACAGATGAGGATCCATTCGCTGCGTTACAACAGGAGTTGGGAGACAATATTCCTGAAGCGCTTCAAGGAGGACCGGTGGCTGCTGGTGCTGCTACTGCTGCAACAGCTGGGGAACCTTCATCTGGAGCAGCCGCTTCGGCAGGGCAAGGATCGGCATCGGCGTCAGCAGGACCTGATGGGGCTACCGCTTCTGCAGGAGCCGGCGGAGCTACAGCTTCTGCAGGACCCGGCGGTGCTACAGCATCAGCTGGAGCTTCCAATGCCGCTCCCCGTCCTCCTCCAAGATTCCCTGACCGATTCCCTCGTCCTCCAGGCTCAGAAGTCCCCGAGTCCTTCCCTCCACCCCAGTCCAACCCAGGACGACCTAACCGACCTCCGAACCGTCAGCCAGGAGGAGGTCCGATCGTCTTTCCCACCGACCGACCTCTTACTGGAAATGTCGAAAGCTTTCGGCCCACCTTCGGTGGCGAGTGCACGTGCACCCACCCCACCTCGTGTACAGGTCAACTGGACGCCCCTCAGGGCAAGTGTCCTGAAGGGAAGGTCTGCTGTCCTCCACAGCACCGCTACAGGCCAAAGTGCGGCCAGATGACACCTCAGCCTCGCTCAGCTCAGGTGAGAGGGAGGAATGGTTTGGGAATGGGGATGAGAAATGTCAGTCATGCTTGGCTCAGGTGAGAATGATAAGCGAATGGTTTGGGAATGGGATTACTCAGGCCCTCTCGGCTCAGGTGGGAATGCTATGTTGAGGGGAATAGATTTAGGGGATGCCTTAAATGCCCTAGGCAAAGATGAGACGATTGGGGAATGGTTGAGACGATTGAGAATGTGTATGGGCTTAAGAATGTGTATGTGTATGGTATAAACCCCTGGTCGGCGCATGCCAGAAAAAAATGGACGAAATGGTTTGGAAATGGGATCAGGCTTCTTCAGGTCGACGGTAACTCAGATGGAAATGAGCAAGATTACGAGAATGTTTGTGAGAATGGAACGCTTCGACCCAATCAGGCATGTGAGCGAAATGGGCGGATGTAGGCAAGAGTGAACAGAGTGGGCGGAATCGATGTATTAGCGGGTTGAATGTGCGAGAGACAAGGCCACGGAGATGTTGGTTGAAGAAAAACACGGTCTCGTAAAGGGTGAACGCTTTGTCGGCTAAGCTAACAAACTGCAACAGACATGGGCATTGTGGGAGCGGTTCCTTTCGTTGATACCTACCAACTAACAAACGAAGTTAATTAGCTTTACAAGCATTATACATGTAATGCAACTAATGGCATTTACGAACATTGTCATACATTCCTTTTTGCCTACGATGAATGACATTTCTGGACTCATGTTGAAATGGTTTACGCTGCATCCGTTTCATTGTTGAACCAGAAGCCGGATCATGGAATTTCCCAATTCCAAACGCGGAGGCTAAGCTCATGCGTGTTTTGTACTGAGGAATTTCAAGCAATTCCTATCAGATGATATGATAAATAGACCTAACGCTACGTATGTGGAATTGATGATGTATCCATCAACATGATACGCTGATTTTATTCAACGATCAATGTAAATGCCAAGACTCCCTGGTCTCCGCTAACTGAGTAAATAACCATACTGTATTTGACATTAAGACATTCTCCGACAAATAACGATGTACACTGTGTAGCTTTATCGCAATATTCAATGCATACATTCCTACGCACCAAGCAGTAGCATTTTCTGATCATATCCAAGGCTAGCCTTAGCATGTCTCTCAGTCTGAGTTCTCACCATTGATTGAAGGGAGAATGCCGTTATCATACACCGATCAAAGGAGAGACAGCGGATAATGATGGACACCAAACGACCCTGGACATCCCACTATACTTTCAGTTCTGATCAGCATCAGATGCCATTGACATGACATCATAACATCACTGGCATGACGTAATGACGTCATTGATCTGACGTCATGACGTTTTACCTTACCTACAAAAATCAACGCAAAGTGCGAAAATAAACAGTCTCTGTGCCTATAAGTTTTAACAACCTCGTATTTCATAAAACCAGCCACTCAACGAACGTTGATAAGATCGTAGAGCTTACGCTGGGTGGCTCAGAGATACCGTTAGTTCATTAGCTTGAGAATCACCCAAGGACGATTGCTCTTGCAAATACATTGTAACCCCTTCTCTGCCTCCCCATCCCCACACTTAATCCTATGGCTAAGATAACACACGCATCGTACTGTAAAACATTCATTTTACCGTCATCTGCTTAAGAGGCTGGTCGCACCTCTTACGGATTTCGATGCATAGCATGAACTTCTTAGAAAAACGACCTACCTGTCCAGCTTTGTCCATCGCTTGAACTGAGGTCAAGACCTAAGCTGACCCTTTCCAAGCAAAAACAAAAAGTTGCTCGACGCGACTCAACAAAGAAACACAATTATATCAAAATCCCTTCTTTGCTACTGTTATATTCGGAGGTATTAAACAAAATCTATTCCCCATAACCCCAACCCTTTATTCTTTGACCTAACGTTAAAGGTCATATCATCTGTTGACCTTTGATTCGGATAATATTCGATTCGCCTCGCGACAGCAGCATGCATGTTTTGTCTTTTATATTTTTCGTTTTTTCTTTTGTTTTTGTTTTATGTTACACAAAAGTGGCGCTGCTAATGAAACTGAGCAATACAATAACATTCCATCGAATAATGCATCATCTTCCCAACCATTGATCGTTGTAAACCTGGTTTATTTACTTTTACTTTCTACATCAAAGCAGCCAACCTCGAAGTCGAGACATGTCGCATTCACACTACCATAAACCATGAGTGCGAGTCTAGACCGACCTTGATCTTGATGCTTGTGAACCTGTTTCCGACGCTAAGACTTGTTTAATGGACTTCAACGACGATTTACGGAATGAAAAAGTTTCTGGGTCGACCGATGACATATCAAACATGTGTTGCTGTCACTTATGTTGAATGGAGCCCCAAGGCCTGAATCCACTAATGAAAGAACTCAATCTATGTTGAGTGCATCCACTAGGTCAGAACGGTCATGAGCATAGGGAGCATGGGGAGCATGGGGGTGGGAGGGATGCCATACCGCAACGACGGTAAATTGAACTTTTATCAATTGATCTAGTAGATAATATAGGTATACCCCTTTTCCACCGTCAAAAGATTCGGTGAATAACGAAAGTCAAAGTGGTGTTAGTAAACGTTGTTAGTCAAAGTAAAAATATCACAGGCATTTCACTTCGAATGGCTGCAATGAATGACCCTTTTTATGATCGGAGGTCACTCTCCCAATGCTTTTCTTTCCAGAGCATTGAATTGAATATGTTTTGCATATCATCCCTACTTCTTCCTGTAGTCGACATGACCCTAGTGAACTCTATCGTGTAAAACTGTGAAGAAACACGACTGCTGACATTTGCGACATACGCCTTACGGATCTACGGATTTCCGCTTTCACCAAGACGGGCAGCTCCCTCCCTCTCATCCCCTCCCCCTCCCCCAGCCTGCAGAGCATGCCTTGGCGACGCGTCAGAGGGAGGGGGGGGGGGGGCGTTTCTGTCCTTGGATCGTCTCCGTCTGGGGGGGGGGGGCTGGGGGTGGTCCCCATCCGCTCTGCAGGTGCCGCCTGGCCTCTCTCTACCTGACAAACAAGGCCATCTTGACTGGACGATGTCCGACGTTTGCCTTTGTTCCACCGCCTGGCCTGGCTCTCAGACAGTGCAGGGCATGTCTGATGAGGGGCTGAAGGGCTGAAGGCTCCTGTTGCGTAGTACGTTGTTTGGTGTGTTACGTAGGGTCATGATAGTTGAACACAAGGCTTCTACGATGTACTAGTCTGGTCTAGATTGTCTTCTAAGAAGAGAGGATGTTTTGTTGTTTTGTTTACGTCGAATCACTTACTTTCTTCGCATTGTCCAGCAGTCTCTAAATGTTATCAGTCATCACGAAGGCGTTTAGAAAGGTGTGATACAACTTTGATGACAGTCGAGGCGGTACGTTGACCCGTCTTCGCGGCAGCATTGACTAACAAACGAACGGTGCCAGGCCGCATTTGCAATCCCTCCCGTTGGGCAACACACACCACGACCTGTTGTTGGCTCGCCGCTGGTCGTACATAGGGCCAAGCTCTGACAGTGCGAAGATCGCATGCTTTTGACGATATGGTTATGGCCTGGTCGTTCGGTGTTCTCGCCTGAGCTGGACGTTCTCTAAACGAGCTATAAATCGTGTTGGCCGTGCTACCCTTCCTGGCTGCTAGCTAGCCCGTACTCCGTAGCCGCGTCCTGGCTGCTAGTCATGTCATTACCGATAAACCTAATCTGACGGATAGTCGTATTCTTGCTGCTGCTTCCCATGTTTTGTCTGCTACCTATATCCTGTCTGCTTCCCTATCCTGTCTGCTACCCGTGCCGTCTGCTACCCGTGCCCTCTCTGCTACCCATGTCCTGTCCGCTATCCATGTCCTGACCTCTGACCTGACTGCTACCTCTGACCTGACTTCTAGCCGTCATCCGGCGGCGCCAGACCATGCTGAACCGTTCATTTTCTGTGTCGGTTACGCTGTCTGCACCAGCCACTGGTCTGTGTCGACGTCGACAATATTGACTGTTGACAATGCCCACCATATTGACAGCATTGGTCAACAATAGCCGCCTACTGTGTTTGTCAGGAACGGGGGTCGCCAGCATTCACTGTGTCGATTATTTGTCAAATGGCGGCCTGGGGTTTGGGAGAGACCAGTGTTTTTGTGAGTGCATGTGACGATGATTGGTGAATGGGGATGGATTATTATCGATGAAGGTTCGTTTAGACGGTTTGATGTGTGTTGAATGGATATTTGACACGCGTCTGCCATTTGACATATTTTGTCGGAGTTGACTGTGGAATAAATGGGCGGTAGGGCAGCCAGGCATGGCTGACTCAGTGTTATCCTGTCGCTGAATTTTCAGTAGTATGCAATTGATATTAGCGTGTATGCGGATATATTCGTTCCTGTTTCGTCCGTTTCAGTAGCACTGACCCTGATTTATATGGGATTCAGTTGTAACTCCGCTTTTGATAGTTATGTTTGTTTCGTTGGCTATAAATTATAGCCACCAATATTTTCGATTAATCAGTACCTGGATACCGAATGCTGTCTTCTTTAAAACTCAGAGAAAACCAAGCAAGCGAACACGTCATCCGCACCTAAATAATAATTCAAGAACATATTGGCATGTCAAGAACATTTATCATCGCTTTTTACGAAGCTGGAACGTAACGAACGGATCAAATCTCGTTTTTCATCTGACTGGATCTCTTCTACCGCTGTCCTTCACGGTACATCTGTCATCGAACTCCAGCCAATCTGCAGAGAGCTGCCCTTGAACGCGGTCATCCGTGCCCGGGCCGTTTTCTCTGGATTTTGTGGTGCGGCGCTTAGACGCCACCTGTGAACCATTATTTCGAGCGTTGGCCGCCAGGTGGCTGACAAGGGATTCAGAGAAGCGAGATACACCCGAGCTCGCCGTTTTGAGACACTCGCTGTAGTTTTCATATTGATAATTTCTGAGGAGTTTCAATATGTGTAAACCGTACCTGTCTGCTCCGATGTGATGTGTGTATAATTTGGTTCTGTACGTGCGTAACAAACAGGGAAAATAGTTCGTGCCCTTACGGCTTCATGATTTTGATGCAACTTCAAGCTAATCGTTTCAGCCCCCTCCATTCGTGCGACAAATCTGTCTGGTGGTGAGTGGTCACTCGTATGACCTCTGTTAACCCCGGCTGACAACCTCTCCCTCTCTGCCCGACAGTCTGTTCGCGACTCGAACGCGCCCTGGATGGCAGCGCTGTTGGAGAAGGTGCCGAACGGCTACATCTTCGTCTGTGGAGGGTCACTGATCCACGAACAGGTTGTGCTGACCGCGGCACGCTGCGTACAGAGGTGAGACTAGAGCTCAGAGCCCAATTATGGAGCTCACAGTAGCTCATAGCGCTTAGAGCACAGAGATCAATAGACATTACTGGAGCTCATAGTGGCTGAAGACGCTAAGAGTTCAGAACTCAATACTGGAGATCGTAGTAGATCATAGTAGCTCATAGTGCTTTATGAACAGAGCTCAAAAGACTTTACTGAGCTTATGATAGCTCATAGCATACAGCTTAGAGCGCAGAGCTCAATAGACTTTACTGGAGTTTACAGTGGCTCAAGACGTTAAGGGCTCAGGTCACAATACTGGAGATCGCAGTAGTTCATAGTGCTTAGAGCACAGAGCTCAATAGGCATTAGGTACTGGAGCGTATAATAGCTCATAACGCTTTAAGCTCAGCGCTCTATAGACATTGCTGAACCTAACAGACGCTCATAAAGCTCTGAGCTCAGAGGCCAGAGCTCCATACCTTAGCGCAAAGGTTAGACAGTTGAATAATGAAATAAAATAAACTGAGAAATGTTTACGGCAACAATCGCCAAGATAATGTTATCGAGATGTGTCCAAGGTTCTTTCCTATTGGGGTGACTCGGCTGTCTTAGCAGCTCTCATTTAAGCATATGTAGTTGTGCCGTTCTCGTTGTTAACCCATAATACATCAACCTGACCTCAGCATGCACTAATTTCATTACCTGTGTCCGGCAGATTTGAAGAGAACAAGGACTCCCTGGTCGTTCGACTGGGAGAAAAGGATATTCTGTCCTACGAGGAGATATACCCGCCGGTGGAAATAGCGGTAAGGTCCTTTAGTTTATGAACGTTACCGCTACCGCATGAACATCGAAAAAATGCGCGTGTAATCGGCAAAAAAAAAACAAATAAGCAAAAGATAGGTGATTCAATAGGTAAACGTTTTTTAGTTGTTGTTTACTTTTTACTTGAAATAGGTTTTATTATGGCTGCATAAACCATAGGAAAATATCACATTAACATACCCATACAGTATTTTACGGGTATAAAAATGATATTATAAAGTTACCGTTCAATGTAAACTAGGCAGTGAAACCAATTACTTTCACAGAGGAGCAATGAATGATTTACGAATATCACTGACGAACATAGAAAATTATTTTGCTGTTATGCCAAAAATGCCTCTGTAGCCTATCATTGACCGTTGCCAAGAAACACTGACCAATTCTCCTCTCTCCCTTTCCCTCCAACAGGTAAAAGACGTAATCATCCACGCCAACTACAGCCGGGAGCAAAAGTACAACGACCTGGCTCTGCTGTTCCTGCGTGAACCGGCGCCCCTGCGACCTGGCCTGGATACGATCTGTGTGAGGCGAGAGGGCACCGACCTGAGGGACTGCAGCATCCACAGCTATGGACTCAGGCAGACAGGTTAGTTCAGTATCCGTAGCTGCAAATGCATAGTGTCTAGAAGAAAGAAGAAATAGGAAAGGTGTGTCATCATATAAAGCTGACCTCTCTTCGCAGTCTTTGTTTTGTTTCGAATCAAATTTCCTAAGCTCTCTAATCTGCATTATGTGAGCATAGAGAATAGAGATGCATCGATCCAATATAAATGATCGCTCTCAACAGACGTCAAGAACATGCCTGCATCTTGTGTGTAACGATGTAAAAGTTTGTGTTTCTCTTTATTGCTTCGATTTGCACTACACCTTTTTAGGCTCAAGTTCGAATAAGTCAAGTTCAAATTCGAATAAGTCAACTTCATATTGGAAGATGTCAAATACAAAATCGGATGCCTCAAGCTCAAATTGAGATATGCCAATGAGAAAAAAACACTTTTAAATGGCCTCCTTACAATGAAATACCGAAAGATGAAATAATGAAATAATTATTGATGATTTCGACCACAGGTCATTATCAAAATAAGCCAGACAGAACTTTTTCAAAAGTTCTGTCTGGCTTATTTTGATAATGACCTGTGGTCGAAATCATCAATAATTATTTCATTATTTCATCTTTCGGTATTTCATTGTAAGGAGGCCATTTAAAAGTGTTTTTTCTCATATAACTTATACCTATGCCTTACATACAGCAAGTGCTTCAACAAGTGAGATATGCCAACATCAAATTGGAAGAAGTCAAATGCAATTTCGTCTTACTCAAGATCAAATTCGAATACGCCAAATTCAAATTAGAATAAGGCAACTTCAATTTCGTCTTGTATTAGTAGTGTTTGTTTATTTGTCATCCTTTATCACTATAAATAATTTCTTCGTCACCGAATGCATGACATTTTCAGTCACAATAAAAGTACTTTGATAATGGACGAATGAGTTTGTTTTCTTTTTACGAGCGCGTGAAAAATAAAATGTCGAGAAACATGTAAGTATCATACTTATGCGGTAAAATAGGTCCAGGGTAAATGCAAAGCATATGCAGTCTAAAATTAAAAAAAATAAGCTTTACTATTGGAGCAAAGGTAATTGCACGCATACCTATAGTGACAATTGACTCGAAGCAATGGATGGCTTGGACACCGTCACGGATGTCAGCGATCTTGAGCTGTCACAGTCCCGCTACACGTGAACCAGCTGGCCGCTACACGGCTCGCTCTCCCCGCCACTGCCCAGTCTGACATCGCCGCTGGCTGACAGCTTTGTGTAAATATGAGTTCATGATGGCGGGATATTTTTGCATACCTACTATCGAAACGAGACGGAGCGAGGTGGGAGTCGACAGCCAAAGTCGATCGAAGGTAGATGGTGATTAGCAAATCATAATAATAATAGCATAATATAATAATAATAATAATAATTAATAATAGTAATAATAATAATAATAATAATAATAATAATAATAATAATAATAATAATAATAATAATAATAATAATAATAATAATAATAATAATAATAATAATAATAATAATAATAATAATAATAATAATAATAATAATGATAATGATAATAATAATAATAATAAAATAATAATAATAATAATAATAATAATAATAATAATAATAATAATAATAATAAAAATAATAACATAATAGCATCATAAGAATTATACTTATTTACGGCAGGTAGCTGCGATGAAATTGAATTTGTCTTATTCTAATTTGAATTTGACGTATTCGAATTTGATCTTGAGTAAGTCGAAATTGCGTTTGACTTCTTCCAATTTGAAATTGGCATATCTCAATTTGAGCTTGAGGTATTCGATTTTGCATTTGGCATCTTCCAATATGAATTTGACTTATTCGAATTTGAACTTGACTTATTCGAACTTGAGCCTAAAAAGGTGTAGTATCATTTGACGTGGCATAAAAAGCTTAAGATTTTTGCTGCATCGTCTGTTTCATAAGGTTTGCACTTTGCAGTACATGGATAATGGCATAATGGCGATTTTAATGCGCAACAAAATTTGATTTTTATAATCCCAGCGATAATTTACTATACCGATGCCAAATAACCACCCCTCTCATTCCCACAGGCTCGTCACAATTCGACCTGCGTCTCCGGGAGGCCGATCAGGCCCCTCTCCCCTACACCGACTGTCAACGGGTACTCCGCGGGACACGCAAAGGACCCTTCTTCCAGCTACACCCTAGCTTCCAGTGCACCACATCAGACGTGACCTGTGACCTCGGAGAGGACCGCGCCGGCTCACCGCTGACCTGTCCTGACCTGACCCGCCGCGAGCACCAGCTACGTGGGGTGGTGGCCTGGGGAGTTGGGTGTCAAAGCCAGCAGAAGCCGGGGGTTTATACGAGTGTTACTGAGTTCTATAGGTGGATTGATTTCCAGGTAACCGAATACTTTGGCTACATTGAGTCGGCGTTCGGTCCGTTCAACCAGGTATAGAAGAGAAGAAGTGAAAGAGTTTAGGATTGTGTGAAAAACTGATGAATGTTTCCTGGAGAGCCTAGTGCCAGTGGCGCAGATTCTGAGGTTTGATTCAAGATTAAAAGTGTTGGATATGTTTTGTGGATAAAGATGTTGTCGATGTGTGGTGACATCGGCTAGTGTTCCACTCGGATTTGTGGGTTGAAATATGTTTCACGAGATTGTCACGAAGTGAGAATAGGGTGGCTCGATCGTTAGACGGCAGACCGGCGATTAGTTCTAGAAATGTTGGTTAGGAGAGGTGAAGGAAGTGAGATAGAAAGAGAGAGGGAGTGAGAGATAGAAGGAAAGAGGGTCTGTATAGTCTGATGTATTTGGTGCCTATGTTGGTGATGTGTTTCACATTGGTTCATTTACAACATAAGCTAGGTAAAGTAGGTTTGATCCTGTAGAACATCTTCCATTATAGATCGCATGATTCTGGTCTTGAAGACCAGAGTGCGCTCACCACTTTTCTCGCTACAGTTACCATTGTATTGAAATACGGCTGCGCCGTCAATGAAACTGTGGGTCTGACGCTTAGGTACGAATATGTTATATCAACGATAGCCCGGTGAAAGATCTTAGCATTTTGGTTGATTACTTGCGACGCTTCTGGATTGTAATTTCAGAAAGAAAGTGGTGGCGTGCCGGCTACCGTTCAGCATGGATAGATGGTGCGCCAACTTTGAAGGATTCGTTCTTAATTGCTTTTGTGTTTCTACTGCATATGCTTGTGTCACTTATTCCTCGGAAAACCGGGGAAAATTGAGGTTTTTATAAAGAAAGAATTAGGTATCTAAATAACGTCAATAAAATATAAGTTCCAATCTGTTCTGTTTTGGAGCTATGGAGATAAAAGGTAGAAAAAAGACTGGCCGCATTAACCCGCGCCGTGCTGGTTGCCTGTGTTTTCCGTGTCGTGCTGGGGGGGGGGGGGGTGCGTCTTCACGCCCCCCCCCTCTATGTAACTCGGCTCCTGGGACACGTAGCGACACGCGGTAAGCGGCAATCGAAAGAACGTCAAGAATAATGACGGAAACACTTCACGGAAACAGTCACTTTTTGTTCAGGTCAAAGGTCAGGTCACCAGAGGTCATCAAAGGTCAAATTTAGTCTATTTCAATAATTTTGGAAACTGCCATTGGCTAACTCGGGAACCAATAGAGCTACAGCGCCGCAGAAAAGCGTATCCGATAGCCCTTTTACAGGCCTTTCTGAGTGTTGCTCTTAGATTTGGCCTCAGGTCAACGCAGGGCCTATTTTAACATGTTAACTGGGGTGGCAAAACCCACCCCAGTGGTGCGGTTTTCCACCCCAGTCGTCTTACTTTGCCACCGCAGTGAAAAACACCCCAAAAGTCTGCCCAAAGATATTAGCTGCCGACAATCACGGAGGCGACACATTCTTGAAATGCAACTCAGCTTGACAGGGGGAAAAGGGCTGGCACTGAGGCGTTAACACCACCAATGGGATGCCCTCACACTACTGGGGGGCGCCCTGCCGCAACTGTGGCGCCCTACTTTGATTGGGACACATTACCGGTAATAGGGCACCCTACCACGACTGAGGAGCCCTATCAACATCAGGGCGCCCACGGTGACTATAAATAGGGCGGCGCCCAGACACGATTGGGGCGTCAACCACCTTTGGGCGACCTATCAGAAATGGGACGCCGTACCACTACTGGGGCGTCGTAACACTAGGCGTTCCGCTGGTGCACCATACCGCCACGAGGCACCCTACCACCACTGGGGCGCCCACCACTACTTGGGCCCCCGGCACCCTGCTACAACGGTGCGCCCTACCATCACTTGGCCCCCTGACACGGCTGGGGCGCCCATCACTATGGGGCACCCCACTACTCCTAGAACATTATCCCACTCCTTGGGCGCCCTTTCACATTTTGGTTCCGTACCACTCTTGGGGCGCCCTGCCTGTAGTGGAGCGCACTTAACTACTAGGACACCCTACTTATATCACTGCGGCGCTTTACCTTTACTTGGGCGCCCACCACTATTGGGGCGCTTCCCAATATGTAACATGACCTTTTCCGGTCAGGTCATGACCTTGACCTGAGGTCAAATTTTCAAGTGACCTTTCAAGGTCAAATTATAGTTCATTCGACGCGCCTCGACGCGAGGAACACGATGCTGGGAAAAGTAATGTCGTAGCTCTTATGAGTCAAAAGTTATTGCCGGAAAAAAAAAACACTTAATAAAACCGGTTATTTTTGGAGCCCTCTGGATCGGCTAAACCGTTGACCTGAGGTCAAATCTGAGAACATTTTACAGAAAGGCCTGTAAAAGAGCTAACGATTGAGTTTTTCGCGGCGCTTTAGCTCTTACGGTTCCCGAGTGCCAACTGCCAACGGTTCCCGTTGGCAGTTTCCAAAATGTTGGAATAGCCAACATTTTATCTTTGATGACCTCTGGTGACCTGATTTTTGACCTGACACAAAACATGGCCGAAGTGTTTTCGTCCTTATTTCGGATGTTCTTTCGAATGCCGCTTACCGCATGTCGCTACGTGGTCCAGGAGCCGAGTTAGTGTTCAGACACCCCCCCCCCCCTGCCCGGCGCGGAAGTGGCGGAGCACCGGCCCGGCACGGTTTAATGCCAAAATCAAAGGGGAACGGTGCCCAGGTGCTCCCCCGTTCCGCCGCCTATGAATTAGCTACAACACTGGTTATCAATGCATCTTTCTTGGCATTAGGTACAGAGTCATAAACGATTCAAAATCTGGAGAGTGTCTCGGGGCAGTGGCGTGGCGAGTTATTTATATTTATCTACAAGCAACAACGGGATGAAGCTGGTTGGAAGTAAAGTTGAAAATTGGTGGGGGGGGGGGGGGCGCCCACACAAGAGACAGGGGCGCCACCACTGCCTGGCCACCCCAGTCCATTTGTCTTAAAATAGGCCCTGGGTCAACGGTTTAGCCTCCAGGGGGCAAAAGCTGTAAAAATAGCCGTTTTCACGAAAAAAAGTTTTCGGCAATAACTTTTGACTCAAGAGAGCCACTAGCAATGACCAAGAGATGTTTTTGTCTCTTCAGACAGATGGGATAGCCTCATTATAAATTTTTTCCAGTAATCCCGTCATTAGGGGCAATGGGCATTGGGTATCGTCAATGCTCCTGACATGTCAGCGGCTCGATCAGGTGTGACGGTAGCGCCACCTAACCTGGTCCCCTTGGTTAGTGACTAGTGAGCGCTAAGCATCGTTGCCAAGTCAGCTCAGGGTGCTATAGATGACGCTAGCTAGTAGCTATACGGCCGAGAGGCCAAGGAACACCCGAGGAACGCTTCACCACACAACCAAAAACATATCTGGCAGTTTAGAGCAGGGCTGCGGAGTCGATGGATTTTCGGCGACTCCGACTCCGAATCCGACTCCGGCTTTCAAAAACCAGCTCCGACTCCGACTCCGAGCAGAATTGTCGACTCCGACCGACTCCAACTCCCGACTCCGACTCCGCAGACCTAGCAGGGCTGCGGAGTGCGGAGTCGACAGATTTTCGGTGACTCCGACTCCAACTCCGGCTCGGGTTTCTAAAATCGACTCCGACTCCGACTCCGACTCCGGTCACAACTGTCGACTCCGACCGACTCCGACTCCGACTCCGACTCCGACTCCGCAGCCCTGGTTTAGAGTCCTGGCCCCTGGGCTCGCTTTTATAGAAAGGCCAGTCAGCAGTCGGCGTCACTTTGCCATAGTGTCACTTATAAAAAGGGACACTTTTGGGAACGTTGGTGCAGGTGTGTAAGGGTAGCTATAGTGAACCCATCTGTCGGGTCGCCCTTTCCAATTATCTTATAACAACTGGGCCCAGGTCCCCTTGGTTGACCGCCAAGCATCGTTGTCAAGTTAGAACAAGGCGTTGAAGATGGCGCTAGTTGCGGCGGAACGGCCAAAGAACGCTGCTTCACAGCAAAATATTTCCCATCCTCGGGATAATCAAATCCTTCTCCTTAACGCCTCCACCCCTGTTCCAGGCTGGACGGGCAACTCAACATGCGGGTAGCTCCACATCAGGAGCAGGCTCTAGTCGGGCGCAGTATCAGTGGGCTGGGTGGCCTGTCCATTCGACGGGCTCAGCCCAGACGATTCACCGAGGTGCCCGCCCAGACCAATGTCTCCCCCTAATTCATATCTTCCTTCCAGCTCTGAAATGGTCTCGTCAGACCAAAAGAGCCTAGCCCAACAAAACAAAAACAACAAGACGTTGGCTGAGACTTTAAGACAGAACTACATTAGCCCTAAGTACATAATACATTGGCTCGGGGCGATTGAAACCATCTAGGATAGAGAAACCGTTGTTGGAATGAACTCATCAGCTATCCCTCACTCGTACGTGCTTCATTAATTACGGGGATCGAGTATTGCGATTCGTATTCTGACCCCATGAAGTGCGATAGGTTCAGCATAAGCTGATCGTCAGTTCTCCAGTTTCATGCCTCAAATCGACCTACCAAGACACAAACACGAAACAAAAACAAATAGTTTCACAGTTCAATGTTGTATTGTCACATGCATTTTCTATCTCATGACTCCCAATACCCATTACACTATCACAGCAGCACAACGACATACGAATGATTCCCAGCCCAGTGGCGTGGGCCGAAGCTCTCTCGGAACGATCAGAAGGCATACGCTTATTGCACATCAGCTAAGCATCACCTCTGAGTTCTGCCGTAACTTAAGCACTTATGCCTTTCATGCTGGCTTCACCGCAGCAGCAAAGCCAGGTCTTCTGCCGTCGGAACAGAATGATACGGAATCACTCACAGTTCATGATCCATGATCCGAAATCTACGATCCACAGTCCATGATCCACAGTCCTAGGCACATGGTATAATGCACACGGTACAAGGCACATGGTACACGTACGGTACAAAGTTCTATAGAGCCTTGGTACAAAGTACCGAGTACATGGAACGTAATGTATGGTTCTCAACACGACCTGAACAGCCATCAACGTACAAAGCATTCGTATAAAGGGGATAGATCACAACACCAAACGTGCTTGAACGAACCGATTCCAAAGCATCAAACGACTTTGAAACATCGAATGCAATTCTGGTGCGATTTGAACAATTTTATCAAGTGCATTTAAGAGGCTAAATGGGTGTGAAATATTCCCTTTAAACCATAAACTAAAAGCTCGAGCCTTCTGTCCTCCTCGGAGCACAAACAGTCATCAACTCTTACCCGACACGCATTATGACAAATGGATATGGCCATACTGTCTCTTTTGCAGCTGGAGATCACAAATGGGGACCTGGATGTCTAGGCGACCACCCATGTCCTTATTGTGTCTATGCCTGCCTAGTGCCTACCCTGTACTCAACATCACTCCACAAGGCCTTGTAAGACCCTTGGCGACCCCGCAGGAACCTAGGGCGACTCCGCTTCAGACCAGTCTAGCAAGAAGCACCCAAAGTGCGGTTCACCATCCACTAGCAAAGCCCATTGGCACAGCTAGGGCCATCCAAAGGCACTATCGTAGGTGAACCATCGTCTCCTCCAAGCTCATTCGCCACTCAGTAGGTGGCAGCACTGTCTATCGCGAGTGGTAAGTTCTGAAAGCCCTGCTTGTTGTGACTCCAGTGACGTCACAGGTCTGAGCGGTGACGTCAGCGGGGGCAAAACGCCTTCTTCGGATGTAGTAGACAGTGAAGTGAGTAGAACCTGTTGGAAAAGGGAAACATTGTCAATAGAGAACATCTCGAAAACCGCAGTTCATGACGAAATACACCGTCTCATGTACTAATTAGAACATTTCCGGATCTTTCACAGACCACCTAGTTAGCCCCCGGTTAATCCCTCCCCTACCTCCCCCGTTCATGTCCCCGGTTCCCACACTGCGAGACAGGTGGACCACGCCCCAGAAAAACCGGCCCCCGCTACCCCTGGCTGCCTATCGCCCATCAGCCCTGGCTGGGGTCGGCCGCTAATGAGCGATTGGACCTGTTCGTAATGAGGTTCGTCCCGCACACTGCCTGTCCCAGGTCCGAGCGGAGGATAGCCGTAGCGTGGGACTGGTCCGGACACGCCAGTTGTCTGATCGTACAGACGTGACCTAACTTACCCCAGACACAGGAAATGTTTGATCCTACAGAAGTGACCTGTCTGAACTTACAGACATAAGCTGTCCGACTCTCCAGGCATAACATTTGTTTTTTTTTTCTTTTTCGCCCCGAAGTTGATTTACTCCAAACACACCAATAGTTATAACCAGACGAAGTTGATTTACTTCAAACACACCAATAGTTATAACCAGAAACAGTTGTCGTTTTATGCTACACACGCCAGTTGCTTTATCAGAGACACGTCATTCGTCTGGCTCCCTACCAATGCATTGTCTGGCCCCATAAGCATACCAGGTACTGTATGTGGACAGATGTAGATATGGGGTGATTGATGGAATCATAACACACACATATTGAACCCTGTTATAATTCGTGGTAAAATTTCGAGTTCCAAAACAGGTCGCCCTTCTATGTTGTAAGAGTTCTTACCTAGTGGGGTCCTTCTCTTCACTGAGAATGTCCAGATCGACGACATTCATCTCATCAGCGTACTGGGAGTAGCTGAACGAGATCTGAAACAGACACCGGAAATGGTCAGCTTCCGGATAGGAAACAGTCAAGTTCCGGACCGGAAACGGTCATCTTCCGGATCGGCAGTCGTTAGTACAGTCTCAAAAGGGGGTCTCGCATTGCAATGAACGTTTTCGTGAGATAGAATCGGATAATATGTTGCTGGGATGCCACAGTGATGCAAATGGGGTTCACGAGTGGCCATAAATACCGAAAAGGCCCAAATCTCAAGTTCACCTAATCGAATAAATCGTTATATGGCCAGTCAGACAAATGTTTGGGGTGTCTGAAAAAACATGATTTTCATGTTTTTGTCCAAACTGGCCTCGTGTATGATTGTCAGAAGTCGTGACATTTTCTATGTCGTAAAATAACTGTCAGATACTCGCAACTTCAAACGCCGCTAGCGTGCGTTCATTTAATACAAATGGCAAAAATTATACATGGCCATGATCCCCAGAGTCTCCTGCTTCTAATGCAGGGTCACAAAAAGTCGTATCTCTTTTGGTTTGGCGTTGACATAACTATTTGTCATCATGTTGCAATCGCAGTTTTTTATTTAAAAATATTTGCTTTCGTTTCACCTACAGTAGTTTACACAGTGTGTGCCCGTTAGTGCACCATACCATAGCATTACCTAATCATTTCTGAGTCGCACTGTGAAAGAATGAAGGCGCTAGCACAGGGCTCACCGGCGCTACTAAAGTTTTCGTCCGTTGCGGTCGGGTGCCGCGGCGCGGTGGGCGGCCCGTGCGGCCGCGCCGCGGGCGGGCGGCCACAGCCGGGGTTCGTCGGTGCATCCCTCTGCTGTTCCTAAACGAAGTGTCCTAGCGCCTCGCGACAAAAACCAACGGATTGCTCTTGACAAGATCTCGCGAGTGAGCATATTACTTTTGACTTAAGGTCAATGTTTGACCTACTTATAGCAGTTCAAAGTTAAACGTCTGTCAAAATTGCAAACCGCTGTGAAAGCAATCCGCCCTGACCGCGACACCCGACCGCGCCGGACAAAAACTTCAATAGCGCCGTTCTGCCCTGTGCTAGCGCCTTAATTATTTCACGGTGTGACTCAGAAATGGTTAGGGAATGCTATGGTATGGTGCACTAACGGGCACACGCCGTGTAAACTGCTGTAGGTGAAACGAAAGCAAATATTTATTAGTAAAAAACTGCGACTGCAACATGATGACAAATGATTAGATCACCGCCAAACCAAAAAAGATGGGGCTTTTTGTGACCCGGCATGAGAAGCAGCAGGCCTAAGGGATCATTGCCATATATAATTTTTGCAGTTTGTGTTAAATGAACGCACGCTAGCGGCGTTTGAACTTGCAAATATCTGACAGTCATTTTACGACATAGAAAATGTCACGACTTCTGACAATCATCCACGAAGCCGGTTTTGACCAAAATATGAAAACTATAGGATTTCAGATGCACCAAACATTTCTTTGTTTAGCCATATAGCGATTTACTCGGTTTGGTTAACTTGAATTTTTGGTATTTATGGCCACTCGTGAACCCCATTTGCATCACTGTGGATGCCACTGTTATTTCGCATATGTTATTTGTACACTTGGCGATTATAAGATACAAAATGCCGCTAAAACGTTACCAAAAATGTGATGACTTTGTTGAAAAAAAAACATTACATTGAACACCGATACACCGATTTGCCTAGCGAATCTCTATTGAGTTTATTTGTGGATTTGTGTCCGGTGTGAATGTGTGCAACATTTTATAGCTGATGGTTTGTGAAAAGTGAGCACGCTCACCTGTTTATCCAGCTCTGTAGGCCGGATAAACTTCATCTGCTCTAGATGAGAGTGAAACTCATCTATTACAGTCAGACGCGTCTTCAGCAGGTGCTCTGAAACAGGTCACAGGTCAACGGTCAGGTCATGTCACAGGCCAGGCCACAACGAAAGTCACCTGTCACATCGAGTCGCTAAAGCTTGAAGGTTGTTTGTGTGCGTGTCTGCGTTCCGTCGTATGTCCGTGGAACGGAAAGAGTTGCTATAGCCTGACTCATTACGTAAACTGTAACTGAACAAGACAGCGGCTCATGCATCTCTGCACTGACCAATGACGTGGAAAAGCGATACCGACAGCGGAATCCAGCCAATCGGCACCAGGCGGTATCTGACAAACAAACTGCCGAACACTCTCGCCAAACAACAGGAGATTTAACGGTTACACTACCCAGCTTTCATAATGTGTTCAACCAAGCTGCAGCAGCAAACAAGATCATCCGTCCCCAATAGCATTCAGCCAGCATCTAACCAAAGGAGGCCGTGATTGTGTACCTAATACCCACAACTATTGCTCATTTTCTTACGTGCTGACGATGACGTATATAAGGGCATGATTAGGTATGTGTCATTGCGTGCGTGGCATAAGCAATTAAATCTACGACAGCATATATGCCAAGAGGATGACTAGTATTTAAACACAAGGACGGGTATTCGGCATTGATACCTAAATACTCACCGATAATGTAGCCCATTGTGACGTCATCAGGTAAACGGATCTTATCTCCGACCCGCATGAACCGGCCACCGCTGAAACAGAGAGATAAATGACGTCAGTGGATCGCCAAATGACATCATTGAATCGAGAAGTGACGACATTGTATTGACAGTCGACAGAGAAAGTTACTAATGAAGAGATTTAAAACTTTAAGTTTGTTTTACTGCATATTTAAAAAGTCATTGGTCAAACGTTTCCATCTATTTCCCAAATGACCATAGCCTTACATACAAGTCCAGTGTCTAGCGAACACCAAGGTCTATGTTCCACATCTCTCTCTCCGAAGACCTTGCCACTCCCTGTAGCTCCTTCCAAACCAAACAACTAAGGCCCACGGCGCCATTCGTCAGCTTTGGGTCCGTTCCACCCCACTGACTATCAGCGATCAGCGATCAGCGATCAGCGATCAGCGATCAGCGGCTGACATGGCGCGTTGGCGCGTGTCAAACGCCTCAATAAGAAACGACTGGCCACGGGCGACAGCGGCGGCCAGCCCGCTGGTCCAGCCGCCCCTCGGCCCCGGCCCTGGACGGCCGCGACCGGACCCCAAATCTTCAGTGTAACGCAATCACCTCCCCGTACACCTGCCGGCCGAGCACGCGACTCGCGACCGTAATATCCTGTCACGCTACGGCACGACAGGCGAGAGTTGTGTGCGGGAGCGCGGCTGGGTTTTGTGTAGAGATGACTATCGAAGTTTTGCTGGGGTTTCTTAACCATTAGAGGCTTCGGGTCGGAGGTAAAAAATCACCATGCCAGGTGTTGATTGGCAAAGCCACGTGGCGGTACTCGATGAAACTAATGTGACTTGACGGTAAACACCTGGCAAAGGGCTACCACCTGCTTGAAGCCGTATCCACAAGCAGGATAAGTAGCTTAACAAAACAACACGCTGTTGGGTAACCTCGAGGAAACTACCATCATCTCATGCTCAGCCAGCCCACCCGCCCGCATCTCGGCAACTTCTGGCGTCCCTGAAGTTGCACCAGTTTGACGGGGCCGGCACGGCGCCTGAGGGCAGCAGGTGCCTGCCAGCTGCCGAGCGGAGGCTCGTCGCTGCAGACACCACCATTCTCGGACTCACAACGAGCGAGGTCAGTGCAGCCAACACGGCCACACCGTCATTTCCAGGCGATTCCGACACTGTGCGCCCCACACGTGCTAGATAGAAGAGCCTGAGGCAGTTACGGACGCCAGCTGACGCCTGCCGGTTGCCTAGGTAACCGCGGAAGACTAAGGACGCCCGAACGACCCCACTCGTCAGAGACGCAAAGAAAGAAGGCTTGGTCGAGTCTGGCCGGCACTGTGAATAAGGCCTTTGTTACACAGAGATTGGGTAGGGGAAAAGGAAATCGGGCTACCGCGTGGATTCTTTGTATTTTATTGGGGGTAGGCGAAATGTGCGATCGGTGACCTTGGGAACAGCGCCTAACAAATGAAGCCATCCGCAGGGTATCTCTCATTCCCCATGTGACATAATACGACATCACTGAAGCCTCAAGTCACGCGATACCGAAGCTGATCAGTTAGATGCCGTGTCGGCCGATACCAGCTTCCTGTCGTGTTCGGACGTCGTGCTGACACAGCGTTCAGCCGGCCTGGCGACCAATGACAGCAGCAGAGCTGTGTCAGCGCTGACAGATTTCCGCGTCTCTGAACATGTGGTATGCGATGACATGCATCGACGCGTGAACTCGCGCAGCGAGCGAAAGAAGGACATTTCTGATGATGGAAAAGAAGCAAAACAGCTTTCCCCTTCTATCCCAGCCCCAAGCTTCCTCAAATGGGCAACCATTGAATGCCAGAACAAGGTCTTTAATCATATAAGAACGCAGCTATCTCCCTGCCTCCGTTCTTCGCCAGCTTGGCAATGCGAGAGCAGTTCAAGTTGCCATCGTTTCAGCATTTCTGTGAACTTTATCACACAATTTCACGCCAGAATGTAAAGAAGAAAACGTATTTAAATGTATTTCATAATGACATGCTCGGCACGCCTCTCTGAAGTGCAAACTCTCGACACCACCAAATCGATGCAATCGGAGTGCCTGCTCGACCCGTCTTCTGTCAACCGGTAGCCTTATAGGCCTCTGTGATGAATGTTCGTATGCACGAAGTGTCGGAGAGCCGGACATTATCGTCTCAACTGAGGCATCCTACATAGGGATGCAAGCCACAAGAGGGCAGAGGCGGCGCTTGATGGAAACGTTCGGATTCTCATCTGGTGACACTCAGGTTGTCCAGCGACGGCAAGTCAAATGCTTCAAAAGGTTACAATCAGAGCTCTCAGAGGATATTCGAGGATTGATATCTTTCGCCAGCCTGTCATAAGGTGTGAAAGCAGTTGAACGCACTAAATCCACTTCTGAAATTTCCCTGTCAACTTAACTTCCAAGAGAACACGACCACAAACATCACGCAGACGTTCAATCCTTACCTGGCAAAGGGCGACATCTTCAGTGCCAGGGCCCTGCTGATGCAGAATCCGGCGCCGCCAGTGCCGAACCAAAACGAGACGCGGTCCTGCAACATCAAAAGAAGGAAACAATGTTAGCCATCAGCAGACGCATCCTTATCATTATACAAGAATCTTCAGATCATTACACATCTCTTCATCATAAGAAGGGATGATTTGACGAGCCCAGCCAACATCAAAGACCAGATCAGCGCGTCTCGGCGAAAGGCACGCCTAGCGAGAAAAACGTTTGTTTGTTTGTTTGTTTGTTTGTTTGTTTGTTGGGGGTTAGGGGCGCGCCGACTACGAGGTCATTTTGCGCCCAGCGAGAAAAACGTGTGGAGTGATTTTCACAACGGAATTCATTAACTTCGAAAATTTCGCAACCGAGCAACAGGTTCTGGCGGCAGTATTTTTCTAGTGAGGCGCATTAAAGCCCGGATTACACTGCGCTGTGACATCCCAAACGAGTTGCGTAAGCTCGCTCTGGTCAGTCGTGGGTCCGGTTGATTAGCAGGGTGTTGAAGACGGTCTTGTCAGGCCGGTATGACGAGGAATCCTCAGCCGGCGGCGGTAGAAGAGCCGACAGGTTTTGACGAGCTGGACGGCACGTTTGGCGAGAATTGGCACAGAGGGCACCGACACCGGAACAATAGGCGGTCGTCACCGGTCGGAGGGGTGGGGTAGAGCTGACGGACTGGTATAGTGGTGCAGCCGAGGGGACCGGGCACTGACCCCAGGTGGCGACTTGTGACAACGAGCCGGAACATACGAAATGACCCAAAAATCCTGAGGTCGCTGAACTAAAATTTTAGCTGAATAATCCTGTTAAGATCTTATAATTCACAAGTGGCCAAACCAGCATGTTGCGTTCACATGCTTTGAGACAACATTTTGTGAAAGATAAATCGCTTGAGTCATTGTACCAAATATTTCACCTTGGTTAATTTTCTTGATATGCCTGCGCTTGTTGGCACTAGTTACTATCATGATAAAAGATGTAGCAAATGGACAGGCTCGAAGATAAGAAACTTTATACTACGCGTCTCCAGTTTCTGCCGCCGTCATAAGGCTGAGGAATTTCTTGAGGCCCTGACCTTTCTCTCAAATTCCCTCGGTCCCCTCACTCCCCTCCCTTCCCCTCTTCCTTCCCGGGTCCCACCGTCGACAGCAGCGAACAAAGCTGGAAAATTGATCAGCAAAAGGGTCAACTCGCTCCGCCCCTCTCCACGACGCGAGACAAAGCAGCGGTCAGATAAAATACCAAGATAAATAGCGGAGTGGGGCCTGAGGAATGTCTCGCGGCAGCTGGCTGGCCGCCGCGCGGACCACGCGCGCTTGTGTCGACCCCTGTATTGTTTGTGACGGGATCCGAACATCCGGCGGGAAGACGTGCGCCAGGACTTGGTTCGCGTTCTCTGTGTATTTGGACAGAGACATCCCTATGTCGTCAGAGGCAGGCGGCAGACACATGGCTCAGGGTCGACGGGGATACGGTAAAACGAGGACAGAGGTCATGGGTGGAGGTCATGGACGTGACAAACACCTGGCGCTTGGCTTCATGAAAGTGATGAAGGACTTCATAGGGTCGAATTTGACTGTTTTTATAAAAGAGTTGGGATTAGAGTTTGGGCTGGGGCTAGTGTTTGATTAGGGCTAATAATTGGAGTGGGATAGGAGTTTGAAACTGGGACTTAGGTGACTGAATTTGGGACTGTAGCTGGAAGCGATCTTTAGATTGCGACTGAAACTGAGGCCGAGGCGGAGGGATACTAACTCTACCAAGAGGACAGAAGCTGAGACATAAATCGTGCGTAACGGCTCCCTAAAACTCCACTCGAGCATACTAACTCACACTTCCCCGGGGCTCTCACTCCACTGAGTCGGCTACCTCCCACACGGCCCACAAATCACCTCCCCCAGCATGTGGCAGACGCTTCGGCGCATTCAGCTGTGGGTTTGTGCGACCCTGAATGTGCCACCCATGCCGACTTGGAGCCTAGTTCACATAGCGCTCGCGCTTCCGCTTCGTTCTCTTTGACTCTCGCCTCCAGCTCCATCACTGCTTTTCATCGCTTCGCCCGAATTTGCCAAAATGACTTTTCGTCTTTCCACTCAGCTTCTGTTCGCCAGAGCGGGCTCGTCCATGCTTTGACGCGCGGAAGCCCCAGGCGTTGGAACAACCCTTCCCGTAAAGAATGGTAAGCCCTCTCTTTAGCAATAGCAGCACCTCCCTTCAGTGAGTGAATATGCCCACCCGGGATACCGACCCTTCAACTGAGTGATTGAGCCCTCCGCGAAGATTGTCTCTGAGGCAGTTCATCTGCGGTCGCTCCCTCTGCCATCTCCGGTACCTCCCTTCGTGACGGGTATATTTGCGGCCCGGTCCCCTAATGTGACCGGTCCATCGATGGGTCCCTCTCCGTCTCCCAGAACATCGTAAAACTGTCAGAGGCAGTGACAACTTCATAGGCTCGGCTCGACCGCTGCCGACGACAAGGGTTGGCGCGGATGACAATAACATCCCGTTCACCGGAAAGAGGGGAAGCACGCTCAAAGATCCTACCTAGCATTTACAGTTGAGAGGAAGCATGGGCCTAGCGAGTTGCAAGCATGTTATCAGTTATGTTGATAATCTTTCATCAAATTCAAAGAAATGTCATATAAGCGCAATATATTTCAGTGTCCGGATCACCAGCTCGGCAACTATACGATCCGGCTCTGCTTTTCATTTCAAGTTTACGCGGATACGGCGGCTTCGCACTGGGTTCCGGTGACTTCTGAGCTATGTCAGCTCAGGGGTTGCCCCCGGGTGTTGGTGTGAGCCGGGCTTTCCCGCGCTGTTAGCATGACCCAGCCCACCAGCCGCCAGTCACCGCCTCATCCGGTGACCTCTGGCAGCATCCTGGCAGGCCAGGTAACGGCAGCTCATTACGGCTCTGTCCCGCGCCGCAAATGTCGCCAATTTGGCGGCGCTGCGCCGCAGATGCCGCGCGGATAGCGGCACGTCGGGCTCAAATTGAGGCCAGCGGCGGCGCGAGTGAGGCCAATTCGGCGCAGCGACGGTCGACCCGGCGCGGCGGGACACGGCGGCGGAGGCGGCGATCAAAGAAGGCGCTGCTGACAGGTTTTTCTCGGAGGAGAATTAATTAAACCGCGCCCTGGGCGTAGCCGCCAGAAGTGCGTGTCACTTCGGACTGGAGAGAGCAGGGAAAGGGAAAGAGAGGGAGAGGGGAGGAGAAGAAATGGACAAGTAAAAGCAGGGACAGCCCAGTAGAAAACAGGGTAGCAGCAAGTAAGATTTTGCAAAAACAAAAGTGTAAAAGGAAGGCTAGGAGTGAGTCCAGAGTCCACAAATCATAAAACATCCATAATTAAACGAAGCAAACGATTTTGTTAGTAAACGATTTAAACACTTTGTCTTATACCGCTAGCCCTCAACTCTGAAGCATCGAACGTTGTTGCGTGTAGGTTGGGTTGAACATCATTTCATCGTGGAAAAATAGCAATGAGAAATGTCGGATTAACTGTAACGCATTCGCTCCACCCTCTACCATCCCTTCCACCTGATTGGTTCTAAACTGGTTCTTGGAATGTGCGCATAATGGGATGTGCTGCGCAACACGAGTGCATCAGGTGTGCAAACATCATCCTGTAAGCGGAGATGTCAATCAAACCTCAGTATAGATAGTAACGCGTGGATGGATCTCAGACGCGGCCGCCTGCCATCCACCACTTGTGTTGTTCCCAGGGTCTCTGGCGATGTGCAGGGGCTCGCGCCTTGTGATCACCCACTTCGCCCTAGCTTTGCAATTCCAAATTTGTCATTTAATGAGCATTATGCAGGAACCCGTCATCACCCGGAGCATATGGGCCGTGCCGTTCAATAAATTATCCTGTGTGGGAGCTCACTCGCGATCGGCACAACCACTAAAGCTGTGCTTATCACTTATCAGGCTTCCTGACAATGTATGTACAGGGACTCGCGATGCTCAAGCCCTCAGGAGAAAGCTCGTGGAAACTCACCCCATTGTGCGCCCGGTCCATGATCTGCAGCGGAGTGCGGATGCTGTTCTTGCCCAGGTACCAGTCCTCCTGAGGACTGTATCCAGATAGAAGCTCCGCCAACCGAGCCGTGTTCACGTAGTTATCGTCATCAAAGTGGCAGAACCACCTGGAAAAGAGAAGAGATAGCGGTCAGCGAGGGCGAGCGAAGTCAGCGAACATATGTCTTCAAAAGAGGAAGAACTTTTGAATGCATACTGGTACCTCTTGGAGATGAAGTTGCAGGATATCTACAGAAAAGCACACGGTATCAATATTTCTTTTACGTAACTGTTGTCCAATAACGCTTGCAAAAAGATCCAAATATCTCATTTCCTATGAATAAACGCGCCTTCATGGTATCTTCCTGGTCTCAGGGCTAAGGCATAGCCGATTTTCCACTTGACTTCAGAGGTTCCAAACATACGACCTTTCTCCCGTCCCTCTCAACCAATCTGCCTATCTCCCTTCCTGATAAGAGCTAGTTTTAATGCGGCCGTGCGGCTTGTTTGCCTTCTTCGTTCAAGGGTCTGGCGCGGTATCTTTGAAGCAAGAGGTGTTGTATATTCACCCCAACCATTCCCCTTCACCCGACTTCAGGTTAGAGTGAAGGGTTGATCGATAAAACGGGGATCAGGGGCGACCGCGAAAGGAGCACGAACGGGACACAAAACGTACGACACAAAGGTACGACAATGGCGCTACCACAACTGTAGAAACGAAAGGGTCAGAAGTTGATTAAAATCTATCGTGTTTCCGAGATCGCAAAAGGCGGAAGAATATAAACAGAAAAGTCAGCCGTCTGCGCGCAAAGCGAGCGATCAACAAGGTGATGTGTGCTGGACAGTGAACAATTGTGCTTTCCGTGACGTTTTGTCCACAGTCTATAAAGTCTGCACGGTCTCTGACTCTGCTCCTCATGGTTGTGTTTTCAGATCGTTGAACAAAAGCGTGTAGTTTGCCCGCTTTAGCGCCACCATGCCTGCAAGTGCAAAGCCAAGTATTTTGAGGACAAGACTTGGACGAATCTGTAAACGCAGCTGCCCCTGCCGCACCATCATGACCATCCTGCCTCATCCTACGTCCACCGCACTCCCTTCCGCGGCACACCGCGGAAATGTGCCAAACACTCCAGTCCCCCTCACCTCAGCCCATTCTATCGCACACGTCCCGGGGCCGGGGCCACCGCAGTGCCGACAAAATGCTGTTTTTCTGCCGGTCTACCGGCCGGGGATCCGGAAAACAGCTCGGTCCCGCGGAGGGGAGGGACAAAGGGCCGCCACACGGCCGGCAGGTGTGGACGGTGGACAGTGGACGGTGGACAGTGGACGTGGATGATAGAGGGGTGAAGAGAGGGAGCGTATGCCACCGCGCGAATCCGGATGCCCGTAAGCACCTCCCCCGAGCCCCCTCCCGCGGGGATAGCCTCACCTTCCGAACAGCAGGTCAAACACTTCACCACAAACAGGATTTGGAAGTGCAAACACAACGTCGACTGTGTTTTCCATCCCACTGCTACCAGTGTTTGTCAGGCGACTGTTAAAACATTTGTTCTGTCACATCTGCCTCGTAGAGATGTTGGGCGAATAGTCGCACACAAGGCTGAAGACGTCTCATAGGACCCAAGAGACACAGACACATCAACCACCTATCGAATCTGCTGTTTCATTTCGGGCTCTGTCTCACCCAGGTGAGCCCGTCTACTCTTCGATCCAATCAAAGCTATTAGTTCATTAATAATCATAAATACCATCCCAGTTTTCAATCTCTTTCCAAATATCAAATATCCGTTTAATTTCCTGTCTTACCCAGCCCAAATGTTCCAGTATCTCTGTCTCTTTTCCGTTAGTGCTCCCATCCCAGTTCCAGTTTTAGCCCCATGCTCACAGCCCCTAGTTCCCGTCCCAATCGCAGTTCCTATCCCCGTCAATACCAAAGTCTCCGTCCAGACACCCGGCGCCACCGCCTGCCGTTTTCTTCTCTGACCGTTTACCGAGCCTCGGTCCGCCGCGGATTGGACGTTAGAACGGTGTCAGTCGAGCGAAACTAATCGCTATTAATCGGTGGACCAGTGGCCGGACCAGAAGAGCGGGTCGACCGCGGCCAACACAGCTCTGTGGGCCTGGCGGAATGGGACGGCTATACAAGCCGAATAACACATTGAAAGCCAACGGAAAGACGAAATAGCAGGAGATACAGCACAGTCAGCAAACGGGCGGTCTATGCAGAAGACACAACACCCCGCCAGTCAAGGAAAGGACAGCTTTAGACGGCAAGGCAGTACACACAAGCATCCGGCGAAAAGACGGGCGCAGCGGGAGATACAGCACAGTCATTGGAGACGCGGCGATATGGACAACACAACGGTCCCCAATCAATAGCCATGCCAGTCAACATCAGAGGACGTCGCTTCCTATGAGCCAGAGACGCTTCTATGGCAGTAGAAGAAGCAGTTGATGTCAACAAGAACGGGCGCGTCCCATGCAAGAGCAGAAGAAGTGCTTGGAGCCGTATCGAGACAGCGGAAAAGCCTATACAAGAGCACAAGAAGCGACGAGGAGGACAGAGGAGTGCAAGGAGGATTGGATCATTCATCACTTGCGTCAAGACAACGAAACCATTGTTCTTAAAACGGGTGCGGAGCTGCGTGAGATAGCTTACATACATCTACCACGCAAAGTCAGAGTCGCTCCAGCCGCAGAGTCAGAGTCAGGTGAGTCACAAGATTCCCAGCGTTAATTCTACATCCCACGCTTCGTCTGTCTGACTCAGTATTCCTGTAATAACGTCGCAGCGGGGGGCAGGTGGCTCTCAGCGAAACACGGTCCAAAGAGAAATGCCAATGTCGTCACAGCGCAGATTAAAGCCAGGCTAGCGCAGCTAGCCGAGCACGACTAGATACGCTCTTAATTAGCCGCAAAAGGGCGGCCGGGCACTGGCATTCTTGCGTCTCGATAAAATACTACCGCGGCCGCCACCCGTGGTGAGCTCTAACAAAAACGGCCCAAAATTGCCGTCTCCCGTGGTGAACGGCGCATTCAGGCGTCTCACAGGAATCTCCGTCGTATGGGAGGACAGAGGGCGGGAGAGGGAGAGTAGAGAGAGCGCCGAGGTGTGACAGAGTGGAAGTGATCAAATAAAATAATAGCCGTCTGGAATGGGTCGGCGGTGGACGGCCAGCGACAGGCAGCGTTAGGAACTGACGGCGGTGGTGGTGGCTGCGACGTCGCGGCGAAGCCGTGAAGCTCAAATTGTGCCGCACGCAGTCTATCTACACGGGAAAAAGCCGGGTGTTTCTCGGTAGTCCTACCCTCGTTATACCTGGCTCTATTCAGTGGCTCACGTCTCTCCCGCCTCCTCCCGCCCCCAGACCGCCAACAACAGCGGCTTCCAATCAAACGTGACAATTAGTGAGAATGATTTGCAGTTCGAGCTCCGCTACTGGGACGCAGACCCTCCCTCTGTATGGTCTGGATGATATGTTATTCTGCTTCAATACACAGAGGTGGTGGTGTGTGTAAAGGTGTTTTATTCTTCTAAGGCTGGCGCTAGCCGTCAGTACGCTCTATAAGATGGGTGAGATTTTCTAAGATCAAAGCCTCAAGCGGCATGGCTAGCATATCACCGCTGATACAAACACTTCGCCGTAAAACCAATAGATTATAATTAATTAAAACAGAATCGCTGCAAAGTCATCACGGGAGATCCCATGTGCTTGCAGTTGGCCCCGTCACAACCAAGCAAGGCCATTAGGAACTCATCCAGCCGCGCGATTTTCAACGGCACATGAGTGGCCCTCAAGCACCAACCCTCCAAAGCAGCAAGAGCTATAAGGAACCATCGGCGCGTTTGAAGACACCGCGACACTCCACGGTGAATTATCGCCAAATCATCAGCTTCGTTCGCAGGTCTGTTGGGACGGTCAACAGGTGGAAGGCGCGCTCTGTTCGTACCCATAATTACCCAGCTCCCCGCTGTTCCCAGAAAATATGCCCACTTCAAAGCGTTCGCGGTGGCGGGTTGGTAGGGGACCTAAGGACCCGACCTGGGACATACGTCACGGCGTCTCTGGTCTAGTGACGTCAAATAATGAACGACCACTGATCCTATGACGTCATTAGATGTCCTGACTCGCGGTGAGGAAGTTGTGCCTAATGCTGCGGTGAAAGTCTTGGACTGTCGTTCAGTCTGTGGTTAAGATGCCACTGGAGAAGCTAATTAAGGAATCAGAACAGACGGGAAGCCTGAAAGATGGTCGGACAAGCACAGGTAATTTGAGAGAGCTGGCGCATACAGGAGGCCTCAGGGGTGACGGAGCAACTACTGGGTATTAGCGAGTTTACAAGGGACTCAGACACGCTAAATGAGGGTTTTCCGGGTGAATTAGCTAGTGCCTAGTAATGCATGCAAGCTACTTGAAAGTTTGAACCTTGAACGCCCACGTACAAAACCAAAGAGATCGAAAGCAATAACCGCACGGAAATCTGACCGCGACTAAAGGCAAATCAGACAAACGTGTGCGGGATTGCAGTTTCTAAACAGGCCCTTTCTAGCGAACCTGTAAACAAGACCTAGCGCTTGGGCACCGGTAAAACCGTGAAGGGAAGAAAGGATAAAGTCAGGCGAACTCTCTCATTTCGCCACCGCCTGACGATCGAACAAATGATGAGCTACGAGAGTTTCATCTCTAACCCACATGGACTAACGCTTTAATAATCAAATACGGTCATAAGCTTCACCGACGCTCTGTGCCTGCAATATCTGTCGCTGGATGGTGGGACGAGTCAGCCGGCCATTCGGGGCTGGCGCTGCGGTCTGCGCTAATCCCTTTCCCAGAAGTGGTGCTACATCCGGCGCTCTCCCCGACAGGTGACCGCCCGCGCTCTGATTCACCATTGGTCAGTCTGAGGTCACGTGACTTCCGCTGCCGGAGAGGGTGCCGTGCACGTGATGTGACGTCACCGGACGGCAGGTGCCCGGGGACAAAGCGGGTGAGACTAAATGCTTACTTCGAAATCTAAGCTGCGTTGCGGCATTGGCGGTTATGTGCGGCGTGTATGCCGCATGATTAGTAAGCGGCGACCACTAAATTAAAAATTCAATAGCTTCGACCTGTTTTCAATGGATAACACTGCATACCAAAAATGTCCATCGCTCTCGTCATAGGATATTTAGATTTAAAGAACTAACTTATCTACATCATTGTTTTGAACCAAATTAATACTCAGCCGCGAACGTATAAGGTATAACCCCTTGCCGTTTCGCTCCTGATCAAGCTAGAGCTTCGCGGAAAAAACGAGCGTGTTGCCCGTGACGAGAGAAAGCCGATGATACCCAATTTTAAGGTCCTAGGTTATCGGTTGACCTTCCAGGTCAGGTCAATGACCCAAAAGGCGGGAAAATTGGGACCTGTTAGAACGTCGTAGTGTGGCTGCTATGGGGTTTTTCGGGGTGCTGATCACGAATATCATGCTAGTTTTGATCACAGATGATGTCTTCATTCATTTAGGCCAGGTCGGGTTAGGTCAGGTCAGGTCAACCAGTAGAGGTCCTGCCAGGTATTTGTAGTAGGTGTCAACCGCCTCTGACAGCCTCGTAACATGTTACGAAGGCACCAAAACTACTTTGTAAACGTTCATGTGGTTGCTTAATTCGAATTCAGCTCGAAAAAACTGACCTAGAAACATGTCAAACTCGAAAAAGTGAACCGAGGTCACCAAAGGTCAATGACCTGACCTGACCTTCAGGTGACCTTGACACCCACCCTAATGCATGGGGGCAACATCATATCACATGTTTGAACGCTTGAAACCACGAAAAGACTGCAAACGCGCTGCTAATGCGAGCCGACATACGCTGAATCGCGGTTCCGGCCAAACATGGTCTCGAAAAGTAGGTCACAGGTCAAAGGTCATTTGGGTCAGGGTCATGAAATTTTCAGGATGGGTGTTAAATTGATCAATGCGAGGGTACTGAAAGTTTCGTCGCGATCAGCCGCTTTTTAAGCGAGTTATTCGCGAAAAACCTTAGGGGGGTTGCATCAACCCCCCCTGTGCGGGCGAGGTCATGTTTTGATAGCAAGACTGAAACAGACTTTTTTGGGTAGCCAGGAAATCGCATGCCAGAGCCTATTCAAATTCTTTTATCGGCCTTTATATGCACCAGTCGCATACAGGTACGGGATTTAGCATACGATTTCCAGACAATCGAACGACTGTTTGGAGACAACAAAGGAAGGAATGAGTGAGTTAAGTTGAAAGTATTAATTTGGTTCAAAATGATGATGTAGATAACCTAGTTATTTAAAGCTGAATATCTTATGACGAGAGCGGTTGGCATTTTTGGTATGCAGTGTTATTCATTGAGAACCGGTCGGAGCGTTTGAGTCTTTAATTTAGTGGTCGCCGCTTACTAATCATGCGGCATACACGCCGCACATAACCGCCAATGCCGCAACGTAGCTTAGATTTCGAAGTAAGCATTTAGTCCCACCCGGACAAAGCCGCTTGGGTCACGTGATTGGTACCTGCCCGGAGGGCATTATGTTCGGAAATACGCTCTGTTATGGGAGGTATTTAAAGGTCCGGCAAAACATCACATACCCCTACTCGTATATGTAAAAGGACAATGCACCCCAGTGCGAAACCCAATGATACCTAATCCAGGCCGAGAAGCAACAAACGCGAAGTCCATCAAACACTTTATGAAAATGCAAATAATTTTAAATGGCCACGTTTAGATATGAGTTATGAGATTTCCCATCAGGTTCAGAAAATCCCCGGCAGATCGTTCATCGGTGTGAGAAAATCACACATTATCGCGGTTTCCGATCCCAGTTTGGCGTGACTCATATGCCGAACCACGTTAGTCCCTCATCAGATAGCTGGTCATCCCAGCTCAGCGCGCAGAAAAATCACTCTAGTCAGACAAGTCGTGCCCTAATCCCGGATCCAACTGTGACAGCCATCGCAAGACGCAGAGGGGGGCAGAGGAGGGGGGACGAGGGGGGTAGGGAGAGCCTCGTACGCCCTGTGGTGAACCAAGGCTGCGACGTGATGGGTTGGTCCGGAGACCACACACAGCTCAGAGGCTGTGGGAGAGTGGGCTGCGAAAGGGGACCGGCTCCGAGCTTTATACTGCAGCTCGCGCAAAAGCAAACCAGCTCCGAGCTTCAGTTCAACTTCCCGCAAAAAAGGACCAGTTTTATCAAGAGCAATGGTGTCAATATTCGCAAATCGCTCAGTGACAGCACTGTTTTATATCTGTAACTTCAACTCACGACTAAACAATGATGAAACCGTTCTTTTAAATGCAACTTAATAGCTTAACTTTCTGCAAAACACCGCATCCAAGCAAAAGCAAACAAGCACCTGTCATAACCACAAGATAAAAAGACCCCTCTTCACTGCAGCACACAAACAACTCATTCCACCACCAACCCTTTTTGGCACCGACTAATTGGTAGAAATCCGATATCACTGCGTCCAGGGAGACGAAGGACAGAGTAGGGGAGGACAAACCTCCCCTCTGTGGTGGCAGGGAACTCACTTTTTGCCGCTATCCATGAAGGTATCATACTCAACAGCCATTTTGCAGCAGAGTGCATCTCTTCGGTGAGACGATGAACAGTTGGTGTTGATGACGTGACCGTCGGTTTTCTGGTGAAGCTCTGCGTCATCCACGTCGGTAAAGAACCATGTCTGTGGAAAGAGAGAACCATGTGAGGAACCATATGTGCGGGAACAGAGAACCATGTAAGGAATCACATCGAAAGAGAACGCCGTGTGTGGGGATATAAAGCCATAAAATATCACGTGAAGCGCGTGGCATCAGATAAATCCCATTCGGTAAGAATTTCGTGAGGTGGGGACGGGAAGCAGCCCTGAAATACAAAATTGTTCAAATGAAGTCGAGCTGAATTGCATTCATCGTTTAAAACGGTAACGTAAATGTGCCACGCAACCATGAGATACCTAGAGCCGCTTGAAGCCGATAAAATCCCATTAAAAACAATAATCTGTTCATGGGCCAGTGCCTGCCCAATCCAAACCGTTCCTGGTCACAAGCGTTCATTTCTCTCGGCCACAAATCAGCACCTCTGACCTAAACGTCCCCCGTCCCTGGCCGCCTCGCCGGCAGCTGGGGAGCGACCGAGAGCTCAGCTAATTTCCTCTTCCCAATACATTTGTTCCGGGACGGTGGGTCGGTAGGGGTACGTCAGGGACCGGGAGGGACGGCGGGGGGCGGCCGTCCATTGTCGGCCCCGCTTTCAATCAGATCCCGCTCGGGTGAAAGGTCAGCCTGAGGCAGTGGCCACCAGGGCGGCGCCACCGTCGCGACGCCACCGTTTGGCTGCCGCAAATTAGTGGGGTCGCGGTGAGTCGGGGGTTGTAATGAGTGCCTCTGAGACAGGGGTGTACCGTCCGCTGGTGGTCTGGATGTAATGACTCCGGGAAACACCCTGGAGCTGTCTGTCCCTGCGGGAATGACAGACGGCAGACGGCGGAAGCTATCCGCCGTCCTACCCCTAATCACATCGTGTGGATCGGGTATGACTACGAGTATACCAAACTTTCAAGACAAGATTTATGTCGAGCCGTGTGACCTATGTGGTCCACATGTGTGGATAAGTCGTGGACAACTGTGGTGGAAAGCTGGTGGAAATCCACTCATTGGAAGCCTGACGGATGACCTATCCTCGACATAGCTTGAGCGGCGATCCGTCAGAAGATTTTCTCCCGAGGACAGCTCCAGTCGTTATCTGTGCGAGAGGACAGTTTCCCATCGTTATCTCAACCAGAGAGTCCGCCATCAGTCGTCATCCTCAGCAGCTCATTACTGAGCTGATAATTGTCCTCCCAGTCAGACCGAACAGAGATTAACGGCCATTATTTTCCAGATAGCGGCATTACAAGAGTGCGTCGAAAAGCTCTCCAGCGTGGATCATTAGTGATTTAGCCTTGCGCTGGAGTTTGAGTACTGAAAATGTCACTTCTGGAAGGCATTAACCTTGTGTTATCAATAACACTAAAATCTAACGAAGCCTCCGTGCTTCCTGGATTCAAAGTTAATGGAAATTCGTAGCTGGAAATGGTGGGGAATGTTCATAAATTTGTGGCATTCCTTCACTTAGACTACAAAGGACTATTCAGGACGCAACTACGGAGGGCTGGCGTCGCCCGTCCTCTACCGCCAGCCACCTGCTACAGCAATTTGGTACGGCCAACCGCCCCCATTAGCACCAACGGTCCCGCTGCTGTTCCATTGGCGCTCCCCCAGACCTTGAACCACCAACAACCACCCTTGCGGACCCTCCATCGGTCCTGCGCAGTGCGCTGGTCCACGCCACACTTCCCCAGCCAAACACTTGTGCCTAGCTCTCGCCTCCCCTCTACCATCAGCTCACATTTCCCCCGCGCCGTGCAGGCCAATTATGGGGTGACACCGAAACCGGGCACAGAGGCGCGCGTCGCACCCCTTTCGACCCCCCTCCCTCCGTCCCGCTCGCCCCCATCGTCTCGTGGTAACGTTAGACGCGACAGGGCCGGCAGGGACTCTGGGCTGCCGGGGTCGAAACTCGAGAGGCTCGCTGGGCTGGCCGGCGTATGCTCCGGGGACCAGCGAACACATGCTTTAGGTCGGGGAGACCCAGCCAGTGATGTTTTGGGGAGATTAGCTGTCGTTTTTTTTCGGGGTGACAAGTCCTGTGTTCGGGAGGGTACAGAAATGTTTTGGAAAGACCAGTCAGTCAGACCAACAGCATAGATAGATAGATAGATAGTTTATTGACACTGCACTCTTGATAAAATACACACAATACATAAAATACAAAATTCTATACATAATGCAAATCACTAAAAATATACATAAAAAGGATAAAACTCGAGTGAAAACGTGTCCATTAAAATAACAAAATACAATATGAGCACCGCGGACATGGCGAAGCACAATCTAAATACATATTATGAATCATACTTTTCAAGAATGTTCTTACATAGCCTTGCGAGATCTAAAGGGTGTGCATCCATAAGGACAGTTAGACCGGAAAAATTTAATCTGGGGAAATGTTCTCGAAGTGAATTTGATTCTGGGCAGTCTAAAAGTACATGTTTCTCTGTTTGCACTGACCCGCACGTGCACAGCCTTTCTGTCTCTGGTATGCGCGACCACCTCCCCGTTTCTATTTTTAACCTGTGTGAACCTAAACGGATTCTTGTAAAAGCGATGCGCTCGTTTTCAGGTACATTTGCCTCATACATACGGTGTCGCGCGACATTCTGATTAAACTCACGGTATGTTGTCATTCGCGTCGATGTTGATTCTAAAATTTTACAGCGTAAGGTTTCCATGTTTCTTTCTCTAAGTGACCCGATTTCTTCCGTTTGTAGGGAGTTGACATAGCGGCCAGCTTGTGAGCCCGACTGCACTGATAAATGCATGGCTAACTGGGCGGGACTGCCCTCGAAATCATCTCGTGATGTCAGCTTTCCTAGAAATTTAATTTGGTTCTCTTTAATCACTGTCTGGGTATCCCAACTCTGCGTGAACAAGGTCACTGCTTGTCTGATTCCTGACTGACAATAGCTGTTTTTCCGCGGACAATACCGCCGTCGAGGCATGCTTAAAATCGTTGCAAAGCCAGCTTTCACAGCCATACAGTATTGCACTACAGAGAGCACTTTTGAATACCATCTCCTTGACAGGAAATGGCGCGTCTTTGTTTTTCTTTAAAAACGCGGAAAATTTCACTAAATGACTGCGCTTAAAATCTATGTGGGCTTTGACTTGATTACGCAAAGTTGCATTGCTGATTGGTGTTCCAAGATAAATGTACTCATCTGTGTGACTGATGGATACGATATCGAAAACAAAAGGAACAGTGTCCCCTGCGTTAATCGCCATAAACTTTGACTTCTGCGGGTGTATTTCCATTCTAATGGTGCCAACTTCGCGGTGCAATAGTGCTAGCTTTTGTTTCATGGCATCTCTGGATGTGGCTAAGACAACTGTATCGTCCATGAATAGCAGCGAATGGGTGTTACTGAGAAAACCGTCAGGTCCAAACGTCTTTATGGCTCTGACCGTACTGTTGATATAGAAAGTGAAAAGGGAACAGCTGTTTGCTGCGCCTTGTTTTACCCCAACCGAAGACGTAAATAAACCTTGCCCTAAGGCATTTTTGCTAGCCTGCAGACCATGGGCGCCGCCACCGGGGGGGACGGGGGGGACGCGTCCCCCCCACTATCAGAATGGAAGGGGGACGTCCCCCCCAAACTCATTACGGAGCGAGCGAAGCGAGCGTAGTCTTTCGGGAAATTTCTGAGTATGAACGGGCCGTGGTCACGCTTTTGCGAGACTTGTGTCTCAGGAACCACTTGACTGATTTACATGCGGTAATTTTTGTAGCGTAGCTTCATTCCTTCTAACAAGTATTGAACTATTATCGATGCATGTGGGTGACCCATTATGCACCCGCCACGTGAAAAACGAAGAGGTGTCAGTTATGTAACAATTGCAATAGGTATCTCGGTAACATACTGGGCCGATTGCGCTGAAAGTTGGCATGTAGGTAGGTAGGCACCCACCAGGCAATGCATATCCATGACCATGTGCCACAGTTGGGGTACTGCTGCACGTGCGCACGTGCAGGGGTCGATTCCAGATCTCGAGAACGGCTGAACCGATTGCGCTGAAAGTTGACACATGGTTAGGGACCGGTTACTAGGGTGTCGTGCAAAAGTCAGTTGGGACCCATTTTGCACGTGCGCACGTGCAGGGTGCCGCTTACATATCTCGAGAACGGCTAGGCCGATTGCGCTCAAATTTGGCACATCGTTAGAAACCGGTTAGTAGGGTGCAGTGCACAAGTTGGTTGGAGGTACCCCCTTGCAATTTCGTACGTGCAAGACCCACCCCCTCGCTCGCTCCGTTGGTCGCCCCAAAAGGCGTTTTACTGGTTGTTTTCCTACTCGAAATTTGATGAGGCCCTTCGGTCCAATGAGACCATTTCAGAGCCGGAAGGATGAAAGAATTAGTGGGAGAAATTTGTCTGGGCGGCCACCCCAGTGAGCCACTTGGGCTGAACTCGACCAATTGAACAGGCAGCCCAGCCCACTGGCACTCACTGTACCCGGCAACGGACTCAGCTCCAGTGGAGTCATTCCCGCATGGGATAGAGTTGCCCGTCCAGCCCGGAGCAGGGGATCGCAGCGTGGAGGAGAAGGATTTGACTGTCCTGGGGATGGAAGAGATGGAATGGTGCCGAATCTGAGAGGGTCCAGGAGGTTTAGATACTCAGTATGTGGGGTATGGGCCTACATGCAATGGTCTGACCCCTTGCCACCTCGGCCAACAAAATCTCCAGCTCAGTATCCGACCTGTCATCGCGGAGCTGCCGATTTTTGATATCGTGATCAACGCGTGTCGTATAACACGACTGGCCGAAAACGGGCATAATATATTTCGTCTAACCAGCCAAGAGCATGACTTTAAACCAATCCGACCTCGGAGTCAAAATCTGAACAATTTCGAAGACTTCAACTCCGACTCTGGCCAAAACTGTCAACTCCGACTGATTCCAGCTCCGACCCCACAGTTCTGCAGTCACACTAACTACACTAAATTTTCAGCTTCTAAGAAATAAGCTATACCGTTGACAGGACCACAAAACTTTGAGGCGACTTGACTTCTTGACTTGGTG